GTACATCTACCATATACTTAAGTACAAGAGCCAAGACTGCCCTCCGGTACTGAATGTCATGCCGGAGAAGCTTGGAATCTCTTGGCTCGTTTGTGGTAAACAATGCCGTCTGGCCGGGCTATCGGAAGCGGCTGGGACCCCTGATCGGGTGCATCCGCGTGATTGTTGAAACATAAGTGGCCCAAATTGGTCCTGGGTGAATGACCTTGAAACAATCGCCTCGTGGTCTACAACTGAATTTGCTTGACTTGGGCAGAGCGAGCGGGAGAGAACGTAGCGATTCTAGTGTCGTTTCTATCCAACCATGCCAGCAGCAAGACTTTGCCGACAGACACATATTACACCAGGTTCGAGTATGAATGCAAAAAGGAAATCGCTGCGATATGTTTCATGCAATTGCCGCCGGCTAATGAGACCCCCGCAAGGAGAGTCTTGGGTTTGCGCCATGTGGAGCTTGTGTAATTGGACATCAAATTGGTAGCGTACTAGACACGCCACGATCGTAGTTGTGCAAGTTCTGGAATATTGTTGCGATATTCCATCCAGGTTACGTAGCTCGTAGACCAGCATGTGACGGGACCCAGCTTGAAACTTGCTTTCCCCCCACCACCTTTGCCGATTGACATAGTAGAGACAATGCACAGCAATTTAAACGCAACCCATTGGGCCGAGGTCGATTTATACTTTTCGCCCAGGTGACGCATGATTTTACGAGCAATAACCCCACCGGTACTGTGTTCACTCGCCAAGCACGTCATTTATCCGCGTCTATCATGCCCTTGAATGCTATCATCGGTATGTTGTTCGTACACTGCACAAAATGCATCTTAGCCCAGCAGGAAAGGAGTTGGAAAATTTATCTCCAATTCACACCTCCACCTTAACGGCTGATGGTAGCACTAAGTGAACATCCATCTCTATTCATGCATCAATGGTTGTTGGACCCATTTCGTAGGCGTCTTGAAACACTGAAATGATCTATAGATAATTCTGGACTTGGACAAACGGATCAATTTGTAACACCAGGACACGTAAAGCTAGTAGGCGTCTATGACAATTGGGGCTGCTGAACAATAGAACCAAAAAGACACAAGACTAGGGTTTTATCCAGAACGAACTCATTTTACCTAAGCTCGTATTGCGCACAGCTTACTACCAAATCAAACTCTCCTCCTGTCGCACCCGACATAAACCTTAATCTGCTGACCAGCGATAATCGGGCTAAACCTTCATCTTCCTCTCCACCATGCCTTGGGGCAAGTTGCGTCGTGTGTTGGTTGACTCAAGTGCAGTGCTTTTCATTGCCACCAATGGCACTAGCATCGCAACCATCAGGGTAGAAGAAACTGGCTAGTGCAATGATGATGTATGAAGCGATGAGTAAACTGCCTTCGAGGTAATTGCTTCGTCCGTCCAGTACCAAGAAGTTTACTACCAGGACAGTAACAAACAAGGCGACAGTTTCGAAGATATTGAAGTACAACGTCATCTCTTTGCCCATCATCCAGCCAAGGATGACAATGACGGGCGTGATGAAGATTGCAATTTGAATCGACGAGCCGACCGCGATACCAATGGAAAGATCCATCTTGTTCTTCATGGCTACCGTGACAGCTGTCACGTGCTCTGCCGCGTTACCAACAATAGGAAGAATGATGAGACCAATGAATGCTTGACTAATGCCAGAGGATTCCACCATTGGCTCTATAGCACCACTCATAAAGTCGGCACACACAGCGACAAGACCAGTACTGATCAAAAGCATGAAAATGGCCGCTTTAATAGACATGTCGGGCACCTCGTCAACTTCATCATCCTCGTTCAATGCCAAGGCAGCTTGAGGTGAGACAGCGGGGCGATTGGCTGCGTTAGCGTAAGGCGCTGTTCGGCCAATCTGATCTGGAAGAGACTTGGAACGGCGAAGAGGCGTGCGCAGAACCGTGTTGTCACGAGGCGCCGCCATGCGAATGTTCGGAGCAGGACCGCCAAGTGGGGCTAGATTCTGAGGATTCGAGAAGACATTGTTGGAAAGCAGGGAAGGAAGCGCAGGGCGATTATACCTGCGCGGGTTGGCCGCAGCAGCCGTGGTTTGCTGAGTGTCTTGGGCAAAGGTGACCTTGGGTGCAGGCTCGTTTGGCGCAACCTCCTTCTCGGGAATGGTACTGACCTTGTTACGATCACGGCGGTCCTTCTTGTGCTTCTTGTGTCTGCGTTTGTCCTTCTTCATTATCGATTGCGAGTTATGTGAGGCAGCTTCAAAGTCGCGAACGACTGGCGCATACTGATCGTTGTCCGCTTCATCGCCACTCATAACGTCGACCGAGTGCCGGCGAGAATTTCCGAGCATACCAGCGTTGGAAGTGAAGACACTGTTACTCCTCTCCCTCTCAGCCTCGAAAGGACTCTGATTGAGTTCACCATCTGGCGAGCTCATAGCGGAAAGGGCACTCCCATCTTTGGAGCTAGTACTGGACTTGCGACGAAGTCTCTTGACCATGCGCTTCGCCTTCTTCTTCATTGTTCCATCAGAACGCGACGAGCCATCACTGTCACTGCTGCTGGAGCTGGATGAGGAGTCTGAGCTGGACGAGTCAAAAGCACCAGCAAGAACACCGGGATGGGATTCTTCATCGATGATGTGCTGCGGAGTGCTGGCATAGAGATATCGATGGCTCTTCAGCTGGAATAGAAGATAGAGGCCATAAACGAGCAACAAGATGACACTCGTGCCACGACTGACGGATAGCGTCTCGTGATCGGCAATGGCATTGTCCTCAAAGGCTGCATGGAAGGCAGTAGGGAGCAGAAGACTCATAACGGCCAATGCAAGCATGACTCCACTCATTTGAGTGACGGTATTGTTATAGACTTGTTCCTGGTACTTGAGGCCACCCAACAAAAAGGCCATACCAAGGATAAGGAGCAGGTTCGCAAGGATAGATCCAAGCAGCGAGGCCTGCACCACCTCTATCTGGTTGGAGGCAAGCAGAATGATGAAGAGAATCAGCTCAACGGCGTTGCCGAAAGACACATTGAGCAGTGCGCCAAGCGCGTCTCCAACGCGGGCGGCGACTACTTCGGTTGCGTGCGCGAGCAAGCCAGCAAGTGGAATAATGGCAATGGCGTTCATCGAGAAGACAATCTCGGGCTGCAAGCTGACGAGCTTGACAGCGATGCCAACCGGCACAAAGACTAGCAAGACATTGATCCAGCTATGAGTGACAGCATTCTTAGTGTGGGTGATGAATCGGAGGGTTCCATTCTTGACCCGCGTGAGCGAGTAGAACGGACGCTTCCCGGATTCTATGGTGGAAGACGCATTTCCATCGCCCGTGGTATTTGCACTACCATTGCTGGAGTCTGTGGTTTTGAGCTCAGGGGCAGCGCGCTTCTCGTTGCTGCTGCTGCTGCTGTTGTTGTTGTCGTGGGTTGGGTGGGGGTTGTGGGTCGGGAGAACGTGGCTTGGAGTGACTGGCTTGCGTTCCAAGCCAAGTGCAGACACTGCCTTGGACTTGAAGCTGCGTAAAGAAGGGTCGTCGGGTTCTCCCATCGGTTTTGGCGTGAGGATGTGTGAGGGTGGAAGGAGTACAAGTAAAATGTACTCGAGGGTTGCTGGGCAGAGCAAGTGGCCAAGGAAGTGAAGCGGCAGTCGGGGCCTTATCTATGCGTCGCAGTAAGCTTAGCCGGCTTGGTCTGTGGCACGGCCGCCTTATCCCAGCGAATGACGTCGGTCTTTCGCCTCACGCGTCTTCCCCGGCACAGCCTCAGTGGCGCCGACGCATGTACGTATGTACTTCTTTTCGGCGGGTGCGTTGCTTGTTTGTAGCCAGAAGCTAGAAGCCAGAAGCCATCCTTGGAAAAATTGTTGAGCTTCTCTTTGTCATGGATTGTCTAAACCCTGCATCCTTTAAGGGGCTTGATTTGCTCATTTCGAAAACTTGTTATTATTCTCGACTATGCTAGGGGTGGGTCATGATGATATGTTGCAAATAAGGAGGATAGATAGAGAGAACAGCTTGTTGCTTGTTGCGCGTTGCTTCTATCAGCCAGTAAACCTTCTTGAATCTGAGAATTGGATTATTTTATAATACAGGTCGAGCAGCGTCTGACCGAAAGTTTTGTAGTCTTTCCAGCACTATCTAGCGCCGTGTAGCGTGTTTGTCATGCATAATTGAGCAGGTTCTAAGACAGAACAAAACATCCAGAATATCGTGAAGACACCTTTCAAGACTCCCGTCTTCCACTCACTAATCTCTCAGTTACTGGTCGATTCTTTTTTTCCCCAAAGAGTAAACGTCGCCCTCCTAGCTCTCTTCAAACCAATCACGCAAGGGTTTGGGCACAGTGAAATATTCGTAAGAATCGGTCCCGGCGTGTTTAGCTTAAGCTCAACACCTGTGCTGCCATCCTTAGCACTTTTGCGGCTCTGGCCAAAGTGAGCCACTGTAACTTCACTTCGGAGTCATTTGTAGCAACCAGACCGAGTGATATGGATCTGGTCACCGAGCTTTCGTGAAGCAAGCTTTTGTTAATATGACTAATCAAGCCCCCCACAGTCTGTAAAGCAGCGATATCCTCCTTGCTCATAGGACGAATAGCCGGAAGGACACCTTAGTTATCCAGGCTTACTCGGATACGGGCTATAGTCATCGCATCCAGTTGACTCACCATGATGGGACTAATTATAGAAAACAGTCCAAGTAACCTACACTGAGTGACTGCACACTAACTAAAACTAAGCGAACAATAACATAAATGTAGTATACCATCTCGCAAACCTTTTGTACAATAAGATACTTCTATAATTCTTCGATAATCAAGTGTAGTGGTTATGTCTTTACTGATGTATTGAATTAAACTGGTTCAATATCTAATAGCCTTCTGGAATTCTAACGTATGCTGAATAAAAAAGAAAAGTTTAACTCTGCTATATGATAAAATCTAAAAGTGATGCTCTACCCCTAGTAACATCGCGCTACTAGTCCTGTCTGATCTAATGTCTATCGGTATCTAGTTCCATCTTCTGGTTGCTCTACATTCTGCGACGTTAGCGTACAATGAAGCTGGTCATCAAACATTCTTTCCTCCACCACACCCCACTTAACCGGTTTTAAATATGCCTCCCAATCGCCCTTGGGCGGATGGCACGCAGCGCTAATGACCAGACTGCACGAAGCCGCAAAGGGGATGTGGCCTTTAAATCGGCGACGCCCGAGGAGCCCAATCGTGACGACAAGAAAGTAGAAGGCGAGACAGAGTATAAGGAAACTCAATCCTGACATAAAAACGCCAAATCGCGACTCAGACTCGATGAGCTGACCTTTGTTATCCACGTAATCAACCCTTGCGAGAAACAATGATTGGGAGAGGAGCCAATGTAGACCACCACTGAAGATGGTGAGAGGCAGTGAGAATTTGTACGGGAGCTGCAGAAAGTACGTGCTGCGCTGAGCATGCATAGGATTAGTGACCCGTAGCCCTTTGCGGTGAACACCGAGTTGGTTCCATTCTCGGGCACCAGCCATGGAGGTGCACTCGCTGTTGAGGACAAGATAGCAGAAAGATAAGGCCAGTTGAGGAAGATTGGGCAACCAGGCAAAAAGAAGTGTGTTCCGTGCCTTGCTCTGACCACCCAGCATGGTTGTCGAATTGGTGCCCCACTGGCCGTTGATGTTGCCGCTGACAGCAAGAGTGATACAGAGAAGAAGGCTGCTCCCAATTACAATAAAACTGCTTGAAGGTCAGAGAGTGCTCGGTGACGACGCTCCTGAGACAAACTAGGCTTTCACACCCACTTACATGAAAGAGGAACCAACCTCCCGGTCTCGCCCAAGCGACAAAGAGTACGAATGGTAGCGTTCTCTCCATGTCCCGTACGAGTCGTGGGTGATATCTTTTAGTAAATTGCCTTGCTTAGACTTCTTGCTCCCAGAGCCATGCTCGATGAGAATCGCTTCCCTCGAATATACGCACACCCCTTCCGTCTGTGGGTCTGGGCTCTTGAGAAATGAAGTGGCTGCGTCACCAAGCGTGACAAGAAACTCTGGCTCTTCGTAGAACAATACCCAGAGCATTGTTGCAAGCTTTATCGCGTTGCTTATTATGACTACGATAAGAAAGCAAAGACTGATTTGGATGCGGCTTCGCGATGAGACTATGCGAGCACGAGCAGCGGTGACTTGTCCATAGTATGGTTCGTTTCCAACTCCATCTGAGTTGAACGCAGTCATATTAATCCGATTCCGGGAAAGTATACTTTTGTCAGTCTCGTTCAATATCAACTTTCGGACGAACGCCCTTGATATGTTTTGCATGACCCACGTATAGTTGGAGTCAAAGCTTAAAGTTGGGTGCTCAGTATCACCATCCGCCGCTTTAAGGGCCGTTTGGTTGATTGCAAGGTAGAGGTCACCATAGTCAATCAATTGTGATTGATATGCCTTTTGCCACTGAAGGTTAGAGAGTGCAGTGTAGTTTGGACTACTCAAAACATCCTGCCATTGTGGTGAAGTGACGTTCAGAACGTAGACACTGCACACATTGGTCGACGCAATGAATATTGCTGCAGAATTGTAGCTACATAGTCATTAGCTGCGCAACAATGCGTGTGCCTAGAAATGAATGCATACAATAGGTGTAGGGGGATAGATGTCAACCCCATGGTCAGACATAGTGCCAGACGTCTACGAGGAATCTTTCGTAGGTTGTGAGAGCTGAGACAGCCAATGTCAAACCATGATCCCTGAGAGTGGGCTATATCAATGTCTCTACGAGAAGGTCTGGCCATGGCATGCAAGGTCAGTAAGAGACAGGTTATCAAACACCAAACTACATACGATGTAAGCACCTGCATCGTAAAGTTGCTGGCGCCCAGTAAAATAGTGCTTAGCGCATTAATCAGTATATGGATACCACTACTCAACTGGGACCTACTCGTGTTAGAAGTCGCCTGTGAAAATTGGGGTAATGAACATGCATTGTTACTGAGTCGTATGTAAACGGCAGTACAGCCGTGTCACCATTGAATCCGGGCTTGATTGCAACGAGGACGACCACGACTATGTTGAAAGCCAGTATTGCGGCAGACGTGCAACTACCCATCAACATGCTCATCCTCCAACCATAGAAGCGGCTGCAAGACTGATATCCAGAGACTACGGTCTCTGGATACTGGAATGAACTAAGTGGCTTTTGGAACACAGTAGGACTGGCAAAGGTTGCAAACCTTTCGGTGAGTGAGCCTACGCATTTCTGGAAGGAGCCCTGAGCATGCGTTGATGATTGGCCGTTGTAAGATGTATTCGACTCGGATAACAATCGCGACCGTGCGCTAGTGATAGACGTATCAATATTTTCATAATTGCAGTGATCTTCGTCGTCTGAACTAGGAATTTTGAGCTGAGGGTGAGGAATTTCGCCCGTGGCTACGTACGGTACTTCATCCAAGTAAATCCACTCTGACTGGTCTGTCCGGAGGGTCGCGATGTCCCTGCTGGTTCGATAAGAAGCAGAGCTGCTATTATTCTGACTGAATTGAGGTTGACTCAGTAGTGCTCCGGCGCTGTTGAAGATAGGGCCAGGTGTAGGGGGTCGGAAAAGTGGGCGTGTTACGCATGCGCCGCTTTCATAATCCTCTTCGACTGGGAGCATATTACTGAGTAATCACGTAGGACATTGTGAATCAAATCGTCGAAAACCATAACAACCTAGATCTGATGTTTATAAGGGGCGCCTGACCCTTGGTGTGTCCGGTCTTAACCTCAGCTGCTTCAGGGGCAGTGCCGATGCGGCGTACGCCGTGGCGCAGCACCTGCATGCAGTCATCAGCAGTACACAGTGAGATTTCTGTCAGCCGCAGCTGAAACATAAGCTCCAGTACCAATGCGCTAACCTTGAGACTAAATCTTGGTGATCCATAGATACATCACAGAGAGGTATAGCTGCAGTCATGTGTTCAGAGTATCTAGTCTTCTTCAAGTCTTAGACAACCTGTAGATAATTCCTCTTTCTCCCTAATTCAATTCTATCTATATAACTCTAACTAAAATTTATTCAATGACTGGGACAAACTGCTTATGTACTCTATTATGATAACCTATTAGAACGCTAGATTCTTCGTTTAAGTAAATCATAACTTTAATCGCTCTACATCGACATAGGCTCAAGCGGAAGATCAAAAATGCCAAAAATACGTTCGATACTTGTATCATGTTTACCTTACAAAGATGTTTATAATTATTACGAGGCTACGATGAATTATTAGAGTTTATTGGACGCGAGCTAAAGAGTGGAGAGGGTCGCGTGGTGGTTAACGCGTGCTAATCTCTTAGAATACTACGCTACAAACACCTCTTCTTTCAGCTTTGGCGGGGTATAAATGTTAGATAACCTTGCATCTAAATTCAGCTGATTCTTGCTTTTTCTTCAGATCAAACATTACCCTGGTTGATTCAGTTCACCTGGACCTTTGGTGTCGCCGTCAAAGGTAACTCCCCTAATGTCTGAAGCTAGAGTTTTGGTTGGACCCTGGTTCAATTGGAGTACGTGTTCTAGGCCTCCACCTAATGCTCCAACATTATCTTATCATTCATCGCTCTCTGTGTTTACATTCCTGAGTGCTTTTTGAATGTTATCACGCGTGCTCAGTTCTAATATTCTAATCCAGGCAGTGGTCGAATTCTAGGTGCGACTATCACTATACCAGCTGAGTATGGCTCGATTGCAGTGGCAGTTCTTGCTCTCTTTGTTCGATTGGTTGGAAGTCATTTCTGGTGTATCAATTGCTTCATATTACATCAAATTCGGTATACCCCACATGAGCGCGACGGATGTCACTACCAGTACCAAGCCATCCTGGCAAATAAACTCACCGATCTCAGCACCTTCTGGAAGCTTTTGAAGGTTGCCCTGGCATGGAGATCAAACATTGAAAATGTGAAACGACGTGCATTACCGCTATTGTTTCTTACAGTGTTCCATATGACAGCATTCTACGCTGCTGGTATCTTCTCTTCAAGAGTATCCCGATCAGCTGGAGAAGTATTGGTTAAGAGCGATGTCTGCGGATGGCCAGATGAACGAAGCAACAAAGCCTTTGATCAATGGTCTGATGAAGACATGGAGTCTGCCGACGCCTGGTTGACATTACTCCAGCAGAGTTTTCGGAAGCGTGCAGCATACGCCCGGTCATGCTATAGTACTCAATCTCAAACCCAATCCTCTCTCTACAACATTTATACCGCCCCATCAATTAAATCGAGAATTGACCCAGCGGCTCCCTGTCCCTTTTTCGAGAGAACCTGTACAACTACAACAGTTTCGATAGACTCTGGGCTCATAGATTCCCACTTGCATCTAGGAATCAATGCCCCAGTGCAAGATCGTATTCAGTTCAGAAAACTGATGACATGTACCCCAATCCTACTAGAAGACAAACATAGCCCAAATCGGACATCTAAAAAATCTCCGAGTCTTCAAGACCAGTTGTCATTTCAACTTGGACAAGGCCAGCTACCATGAGACGATCTATACAAATACTATTATCTTGGAAATCGGACATGGAAAGGGACCTCCATAAGCGATAGCACAGTCGTGATGACCAACAAGACTATCACATACGTCTCTCAGCCCTACAATCTCTTGTAAGCCATCCATCCTTTTTTTCTTCAAGCTTATAGATAATATATTTGTCTAGATGGGTAGATGCTAATCCCGGAAACCCTATTGAAGGGACTTTCAACCCCATATCTGCTCTGAACCGTACAGATGCCGACGTGAACGTCCTGCTATTGAATAACTGAGCAGCATATACAGGACCTGTAAGAGATCCTTGGTTTCAAACGGCCGCCACACCAACCAATTCCGTGGTATGGGCACCAAGCGATGTCTGGATCTCATCAACTACGCTCTCTGGTATTGGCTGCATCGAGCAGTATCAGTTCTGTCGCAGCAATCAATGCACCCCTCTTACAGGCATTTATATGATCGATCAACATGCGATCGACAAACTCAGTCTAAATTCAAAATAGGAAGCGACACTACAGCTAATACTGAAAATAGCATTGTGGATAAGGATGAGTCGCCTGCTGACCTTTTTGGGAGGGAACATTCTCCTTGCCAAAGACAGATTATTTGGAGGTACTTGGTTGTCTTCTGCCCTCGAGAACAATCAGTGGCAAAAGGAAATTGAAAACATACACAACACAAGTATGGCATTTCTCCAGCAACGCATTATCGATCACGCTTCCCCGTCTAATTCCCAGATCCATAAATCTGTTGGCCTCTACCCACACATCATGCAGGAGACTCATCAGGAGATTCTGAATATTTGCGCCAACCAAAAGGTCTGGAGTAGTAGTCATCATTCCTTTAACGTGGTGGGTATAATGTTTATCATATTCGGAGGTGCCTTGGTTATCTTGGTTGATGTTTTCCTTCCTCAGATGGTGGGCTGGTTACAGCGGCGCAGCGGGAGAGGGTTGGCAACTAGGTTGGACTGGATTGAGAGCGAGCCTTTGCATTTACAGCGCATCGCGTTTGAGAGTTGTGGGATTGGGCCGTGGAAGGTTGACAATGATGGTATTCCCATTACCGAGGAATTTGGGCAGAAGTTTCGACGTCCGAGGCTTTGCTCGAGCGCTTATGCAGTGGTCTAGCTTATTGTGTAGGGTGGAAATATGCGTTGTCCATTACGAGTACTAAGTTTGGCTCCAGCCACCGGCCGCAGTGCTGGAGCAGCTGCTTAATATGATCTTCAAGGACAGCACGATTAGTCATTCTCTGAAATACCCGCGATAGCAGGATTTGATCCTGTGTTTATCTGCCACCGCTGTTCACGCCAATACCTAGCAATCTGCACAAGTATCGTGCCTAGAGGAGACCACCCCGTTCGCCCAAACCCGATCCGCTTGTCACGCCCAGACTCATCTACTCAGACAAGGCGGTAGGGACGGAAAGAAAACAGGTTCTGTGAGGTAGTGGACACTTCGCGCCTCCTAGATTTCAGTAAACCTACTACTATCCTTACACATGCCCCACATTACAAAAGCCTAATTACCCTATCAAACGGGTTCTCTTAGTTCAGTACCTCCACGATCTTGACCAGCTCTTGTTCTAGGCTGTCGTACGTATAAGCTTCGCCCTCGCCCTTGCGCTTCCATGACGCCCACGCATAAATCTCCTCCTCATTTCCGTCCTCAATTGTGAGAAATGTCTCGCCAGTGGGACTCAGCTGGATGGGTGCGGTTGGGCATACGATCTCGCAGCCTGTGAGCCAGTCCTTTTGCAGGGTTTTTCGCAATGCATCGGTCTTGGCTTGGAAGAGCGGGCCGGATTGCGTGTAGCCGTGCAGCATGAGTATCTTGAGAAGTGCGGAGAGAGGTGGGTAGGTAGACATTGTGAGCCAGTAGAGAAGTGCGGTGTGGGATGAAGAGTAGTAGCAGAGGGCGGTTAGGGTGAAGGAGTTCAGGTAGGCGGGTTTAATGCGGAGGTAGTTAGGCATGTATTCGTATATAAATAGATAGTGTGAAGAATAGAGACTAGTAGATAACGTAGTTTACAAGCGAGTGACGCGTACAAGCGAGTGACGCACCCCACCAACTTTGCAAACTTCTAAAGCTATACAACTCAACAATATAATAGTATAACATATAGAAGTTAATATAGCGAGTTAACTAGTATCTAGAGTATCTTTCTTACATGTACGTGAA